CGTGGACGGCCTGGTAGGCGAGGTAGAGGAAGTGGGGGTCCTTCGAAGAGAACTTGGCGTCGACGATCTTCAGCGCCCGCTCGGCGTAGAGCGCCGTCGTGTGGACGCCGTCGTAGCCGGCGAAGGCGTCGGCGCCCAGGGGCCCGTCGTCCTCCCACAAATTCCGCCCCGTGGCGCCGTGGGTCGTCGACGACGTCAGGTTGCCGCGGACGGAGAACGACTCCGTCGTCGAGTGCGCAAAGTGGTCGCCGCCGCCCGTCAAGATGCCGAAGAAGCTGTCGAAGCCCCGCCGCCGCGGCAGGTACTTGGGCGTGTGGAAGCCCAGGTGCCACTTGCCGACGGCCGACGTGCCGTAGCCCCGGGCCCCGAGCTTGTCCGCGAGCGTCGCGACGGTGAGGTCCAAACCCCGCGGCTCCGTGCCGTGGATGACGCTGTCCTGGAGGCCGAGGGCGACGGCGTGCCGGCCCGTGAGCAGCATGGCCCGCGACGGCGTGCACTCCGCCGCGCCGTAGAGCGCCTCGAAGGCCACGCCCTCGGCGGCGAGGGCGTCGAGCTGGGGCGTCGCGCCGCCGAGGTCGCCGCTGCCCTGGTACCCGACGTCGCTCCAGCCGAGGTCGTCGACGACGGCGAGGACGATGTGGGGGCGCTCGTCGTCGGCTCGAGCGCGCGCCGCCCAGGCGAGCGCCAGGGCGGCGGCGCGCCGCAGGCTGCCCCACCCCATTGTCACCTAAAACGCGGTTCAACCAGCCTTCAGCGTCCCAGCTCTTTCGGCGCGAGCTGCTCAAACTGAGAGCACTCTGCGCGGATCATCGGCCTGCGCGCCGCACCCGACGCGGCCCGTCGGCGGTAGAAGCGAGCGCATGGACTCGCAGGACGACGCGTCGCAGGCCGGCGGCTCGCAGCTCGGCGACGACGGGTCGCAGCTCGGCGACGACGGCTCGCAGCTCGGCGACGACGGCTCGCAGCTCGGCGACGACGGCTCGCAGCTCGGCGAGGGGTCCCAGGCCGACGCCGGGGAGCTCGTGGACCTGACGCAGGACGACTCGCAGGTCGACGCGCCCAAGGCGCCGAAGAAGAAGCCCGAGGCGACCTTCGCCGGGCGCCTGCCGCTGTCGTTCGGGTCCGGCGCGGCGCGCGAGGGCAAGGCGACGCTCCTCGTCGAGCTCGACGGCCGCGCGGGCGGCTTCGGCGTCGACACGGGCGCCATCGGCCGCGCGTCCTTCCCGAAGGTCGACGGCAAGCGCGCGTTCCGCCTCGACCTCCGGGGCCAGGAGTACGCCGCGACGATCCGGCCCTGCCCGACCATGCTCGTGCTCAACGTCGCCGGCGGCGAGGCCAAGGTCGAGTCCATCGTCTCCGAGTACGTGACCCTCAAGCACACGCGCGACGCGACGCGCGACGACGCGATCATCGACGGCGCCTACGACGCCGGCTACGGGACCTACGCGGGCGACGTCGACGTCAACCGCAAGGGCCGCAAGCGGAGCCCCCGGCCGGGCGACGGGTCCGACTCCGACTCGGGCAGCGACGTCGTCGAGGTGCCCAAGAAGAAGCGCAAGCCCGCGCCGAAGAAGAAGGCCGCCGCGGGCCGCGGCAAGAAGTAAGGGGGCGCGCCTCGCCGCGTGTGCGGTTGTGTCACGCCGAGCGAGCTCGCCGGCGTAGTCGTGATGGCGAACATGGCGGCGTCGCGCGCGTGTCCGATGCCGATGTTGCAGCATGGTTGCCGTGCAATTGCCTCAGAGGAAGCCTTGGCCAATTGGCCTGCCTTGGTCGACGTCGACGTCGCGACCAAACCTGTTAGGTCCAAGGCCTGTCTCTCCTCGCCGCGTCCGCAGCTGTCTCCGTATCGAGGCCTTGTCGACGCGCTGTTCGCGTCCAAGGTCTGTCTCTCCTCGCCCGCGTCCGCAGCTGCGCTCTCCCCGCCCATCAAGAAGCGCCCTCCGCGACACTCATGGCGACGCCGCGCACGGCGCAGTGCTGGGCCGCGTCGGCGCCCAAGGAGAAGCTGCACAAGACCGCCGTGGAGCTCGCGCCTTTGGGCCACAACGGCGTCGAGGTCAAGGTGACGCACTGCGCGATCTGCGGCAGCGACGTGCACCTCCTCGAGGCCGACGGCGGCTACGCGGACTTTGGCGCGTGGCCGAAGAAGCAGGTCTGCGGCCACGAGATCGTCGGCAAGGTCACGGGCGTCGGCGCGGGCGTCGGCCACCTCGCGGTCGGCCAGCGCGTGGGCGTCGGCTGGCAGAACGGCGCCTGCCACGACTGCGAGTGGTGCCTCAACGGCGACGAGCAGCTCTGCCCCGCGGTGTCGTGCACGTGCTGCGAGGGCCAGGTCGGGGGCTTCGCGGACTACGTCCGGCTCGCGGACGCCAGGTTCGCCTACGCGCTGCCCGACTCCCTCGACTCGGCGAAGACGGCGCCCCTGCTCTGCGGCGGCCAGACCGTGTGGACGCCCCTGCGCCAGCAGGCGAAGCGCGACGACCGCGTCGGCATCCTCGGGCTCGGCGGCCTCGGTTCCATGGCGCTGACGTTCGCGGGCAAGATGGGCTTCCGCCGCGTCGTCGCCGTGTCGTCGTCGGGCGCGAAGAAGGACAAGGCGCTGGCCCTCGGCGCGACGGACTACTGCGACCACTCGTCGGCCG